ACAAAGGGTCAAAGATAAAGATACCAAGTAGGTGAATTCTGGCTTTGTGATTTTTTTTCCTTTTACTGTAATGAGAAATCCCAAAAGTCATTCTTATATTTGTTTCTTTGTGCAGCTACTAATTGACAAGAATATGCTTTTATACTACACTATCTAAGCAGTTTATTGAGGAAGTTGAAGTAGTCATTTACTGGGAACTCACTAGTGATAAAGACAATGGACAAATGAAACAAAAATATAACTGTGGGTTTTTATAGAAATTTTATAAAACTCACTATTACATTTTATATAGGCATATATAAAAACACACAGATATATATTATCCATTATACATACATGCATGTATATGTGCACCAATGTGTTGTATTAATATGTTAATGTATCATATATTATGTATAGTGTATTATGTATATTATAGTGTATATTAGTATATAATTAGAATACATTATAATATACATTATGATGTATAGTATACATTATAATTATAGTATAGCAATACATTAATATACATCATATTAACATGTTAATATAGTAATATATAATATATACACAATGTGTTATATAAAAATAAAATAATATAATATAAATTATAATATTATATATTATACATACATACCCACACATAAATATAAACATACAGATAGTTATACATACCTGCTAAAGAGAAGGGGACTACAATCAGAAGCCTTGGGGTAGAGTCCCAGTTCTATCCCTTATTTCCTAACTGATCTTTGACAGAACACTATTTTCTAATCTGTAAAATGAAAAATAATACTCATTCTGCATAGCTCAAGGGCTTATTATGGAAATTAAATGTGACAATGTAAATGCTTCATAAGGGGTTATTCTAATTTGTTATTGTTATGTGCTAAATATTGAGGATGCCAAATATTTAGTTACCAGAAGAATTAAAGTGAATGAGTTTAAATGAAGTGACTAGAAAGGCTTTGATGATGAGGTGGGTCTTAACATAGAATTTGAGGAAGAAAAAGATGAGATGAGTGGAAAAACGCAGGATAGGGAGGGCCGTGTACATTGCTTCCAAACTGGGCCAGGGTCAAATCTGCAGACTCACTTGGCTATGGCAAGGCTCAGGAGAGTCTGCATGTTAGACAGGCAGTTCTTGAAGGCGCAGTTGGGGGTGGACATGAAACTCCCCGATTAGGAGCTTTAATTGATCTTGAAGGTCATTAAGCCCCACTGCTCGGCTCTGAGAAGGATTGTTATCTGAGGTCAGCAGCAGCATTCTCAGTGCTAGCTTTGGCCTATTTTGAAGCTAAAGAACAGCAGAAGATTAAGGAGATTAAACAAAATATAACCCTCAATCCTCTCTGTTTTGCTACTTCCTGAATTGACCTTTTAAAGTGTTTAGTGTCTGAATTCAGGTCACATCATCAGCACAACCATCATCAGCAGAGGAGAATAGTGATTACCTTCCTGCCTATGTCCATAATTGAAGAGTAATGCATATTGTTCATAAGTATCATTAAAACCATCAGCAACATGCTATAGTGGAAAGAACCACAGGCTAGTGTAATGATCCGCTGGAGTTCTAGCTCTAAGGTTGACTGGAACTTCAAGGAAAAAAACTAATAAGAATTAGGTTACAGGTGATATGATTGCAAGTTTTTTTTGTGCATGTATTCCAATTGTTTTCTGTGCATCGATGTCACAAAGGACAATATGCTAGGTGTTATTGGGTCTATAAATGTGAATAAGTTACATGCTTTATCCTCAGAAGCTTATCAATTAATGGAAAGAAGATACATATACGTAATCGTGGTGGTAGAGAACCAAGACAGAACTCAGTTTTTCTAATTCTTAATCTAGTTATCATTTAGCATGCCGAGTTTGGAAAGATTTTTATAAAGGATATTTATAAGTGGAAGAGATGAAACAAAAAACAGAAGCAGGAAAAGGCATCAAAATGGACAAGTTCAAAAACTGTTTTAAGCAGCGTCTCTAGAGGTGTATTGCATCAAAAAGAGAGTACTTTGAAGGTGACTGAAGTTTAAACATGTAAGAATAAATATACATTTTTTAATAAATAAATTCTGAGTTTTTTGGGGGTCCCCCTGGTATTATAAAACGGTTCTAAAAATAGATGAGATACTGCCTGATGCATGAATCTCAAATAAAAGCCAATTAGATAACTTAATTTCTTGACATTGTCTCTTTTGAGTCTTGGAATAGAAGAGAATGGGTAAAGTCAGACAGTGAAGACTTCTTTATAAGTAGATAAACGGAGATCAGAGAAACAAGCCTACTTGAAGCCAGTCTCAGGCCCTCTGACTGCTCTGCTCAGGCCCCTGTTGGCTTGTTTCCTATGTCCTTCACGGCAATGCTGGTGTTCTCAGCAGTCTTTCTCTCTGGTCCTTGGCTCTTTTCGTGATACGTAGTCTCTAGCTGATCTTAGCCATGACGTGACTTCAGGAACCATGACCTCAATCTTATTCCTTGGTCTTCACTTCTTGCCTGATCTCTGGTATACCTGCTTTCTGGGCATCTGCCCTGAACCCAAGCTTACCTCTGTATTTCCTATAGTATTTTACAAAGATCCTGTTGTTAAAATTGGTCCCAAATAAGAAGGAGCAAAAGACACAAACATCATGTTAACTTTTTGTTTGTTTGTTTTGTTTTGTTTTTTGAGTTGGAGTCTCACTCTGTCGTCCAGACTGGAGTACAGTGGCCGCTCCTGGCCATCGCAGCCTCGACCTGCTGGGCTCCGGCGATCTTTCCGCCTCAGCCTTCCAAGGAGCCGGAATTACAGGCATGAGCTACCACGCCCAGCTGATTTTTTGATTTATTGTAAAGATGAGGTCTCGCTGCCCAGGCGGGTCTCGAACCCGCGGGCTTGGGCAATCCACTCACCTCAGCCTCCCAAAGGCGCGGGATTACAGGCTGAGCCACCGAGCCCGGCCATGTTAACTTTTTGAAAAGGGATATGCAGTCTCTCAGTATCCATGGGGGATTGATATTCCTAGGATACCCAAATCCACAGATGCTCAAGTCCCTTGTATAAAATGGTGTAGTATCTGCACATAACCTATGCACATTATCCTCTATATTTTAACCTATCTCTGGATTACTTGGAATACCTAATACAATACCTACACACGACTTCATTCTCATGGATTCAGCATAGCACTTGGCATGCAACCGATTCAAGTTTTGTTTTTTGGAACTTTGCTTTGTGGAATTTTTTTTTTTTCCCAAATATTTTTGATCCTGGGTTGCTTGAATCTATGGACAAAGAACCTATGGACATGGAGGGCTGACTGTAGGTGTTAGTAGTTAAGACATTGACTTTAGCTCTGAAAATCAAAGGCATCAAATTGACCATTTGTTGTTTGGTATGGTTTGCTAATTCAACCCAAGCACCCATCTCACTCAATATATTTTACTATTTACCTTGAAATATTTGAAACATATGAGATGCTGGCAGCAATAGACTCAGAAATTTGAGGAAAGACATATGATAATTATATATTAAGTTTAAACGATGTTTTAAAATAATGGTATTAAGAACAACTAAGTAGTGTACAGATCTGGACTGTAAAAACACTATATCTGGACTATATACAGTTCAGTCTATATACAGACTATATACAGATATATATAGATGTGTACAGATATATACTCTATACAGCCCAGTCTATATACAGACTATATACAGACATATACAGATATATACTATATACAGTCTAGTCTAAATACACTAGACCTGGACTATAAATACACTTAATAGGGACACACAGATGCTGGATTCTGCTAGGGGAGGGAAGGAAAGAGAAAGGTGGGGGGATGTGACAACATACTGGGTACCTAGTCCACTATCTGGGGAGCAAGGGCCAGCTTGAAGCCCAAACTTCACCTGCATGCACCTTACTTATGCAGTAAATCCTCACTTGCACCCCATAACTCAAATAAAATAAAAAGAAATAAATACATTAACTAATATACCCAATAAAAGGTGTTCTTATTTTTGAAGCTTCTTTCTTTTTTTTTTTTTTTTTTTTTTGAGTTGGAGTCTCACTCTGTCACCCAGACCGGAGTGCAGTGGCCGCTCCTGGCCACCGCAGCCTCGACCTGCTGGGCTCCGGCAATCCTTCCGCCTCAACCTTCCAAGTAGCTGGAACTACAGGCGTGCATTACCACGCCCGGCTAATTTTTTGATTTGTTGTAGAGATGAGGTCTTGTCAAGTTGCCCAGGCGGGTCTCGAACCCGCGGGCTCAGGCAATCCACTCACCTCAGCCTCCCAAAGTGCTGGGATTACAGGCTGAGCCACCAAGCCCGGCCTCTTTCTGTTTTTAAATATATTTTTTATTTTAAAATTGTGGGGTACAGTTAAGGGTTAGGTATACAAATATGCATTGTGCAGTTACCCTTGTTGATGAGGTGTGCCCCTGCCCCTCCCCGTCCCCAGACAGATATCAACTACCATTAATCCCACCTCCCTTCCTCTCCTTGCCCCCCCATAGTTTCCCATCACTGTCAATCCTTTTCTTGTAGTATTACAATAGTTCTTCAAGGTCCACTTATGAGTGAGAACATGTGATACTCAGATCTTTGTTTCTGTGAGAGATCACTCAGTACTATAAACTCCAATTCCATCCAGGTTGTTGCAAAATTCATGATTTTGTTCTTTTTTATGACTGTGTAATATTCCAGAGATGCTTCTTTTTCAGAAATTATGTGCTTTTCCCCTGATGAATCAGCATGAAAAAGCAAATAAGTTGGGTTTAGTGTTCCCAACCTAAAGCATGACATCTCCAGTTAATGAGGACGCTCATAATGAGAGCCATTGTAGATGTAAGACGATTAGAGAAGCAAGTGGGCTTCAGATACTGGGGAATCTGGGCTATGGCCACGCCACCACTGAGGGACACCTGTATTGATGTCGCAGGGAAATAAGGCTTCCTAGAATCGGGAAGGGAGCAAGCCTCGTCCTCTACCAAAACTCATCTGACTCCATCTTCTAAATCATCTTCTCTTTTAGAGCAGAATCTATGCAAGTGGAGGAAAGGAAACTGCAGCAATCGCGTGTGTGGGCAGGAGCCCACGGCCCATCTGTGTGCGTGCAGGGAGGGCTACACTCTCAGCCCGGACCGGAGGTTCTGCGAAGGTAAAAAGAGCAGTGGCTGGAAGCTCGGAAAGCCCAGCTGGGCCCCTGGCCAGTCTTCTGCGGTCACTCAGCACCTCATTGGGAAACCAAGTTAAAGTCCACCTCCTCCCTCACCATTCCACCACCAACCATAGTACTTAAAAAAAAAAAAAAAAGACTTTGTAGCCAGGCACAGTGGCCCATGCCTGTAAATCCAGCACTTTGGGAGGCCAAGGCAAGAGTCCAGGAGTTCAAGACCAACCTGGGCAACACAGTAAGACCTCGTCTCTACAAATATAAAATAAAAAAATTAGTCAGGCACGCACAATCCTGTAGTCTCAGCTACTCAGGAGGCTGAGGCAGAAGGATCCCTGAGCCCAGGAAGTCTGTTGTGAGCTGACTGAACCACTGCACTCCAGCCTGAGCAAAGAACGAGACCCCCAACTCAAACAAACAAACACATCCTTTATAATACTTTCAGGTCTTCTTTATATCTTGTGTTTCTAGACCAAACACTTTGAGAGGTGGCTCAGGGATTGGTATGAGGCAAAGATTCTCTGTGTGGATTCCATGGACCTCTATGCATCTGGGTGCAAAATCTCAGTACAGTATATGCAAGTTTTTAGTGGTCCCATATCTGTCATGAGATACTCAAAGAGTATGTGACTCTTACATCTCATCCCATGTAAATCTAGTAGACAAGGAGAATTGGATCAGGCTGGTTATCTAGGGCACCTCCTGTTTTGAGACACTGGGCCCAGTATAATGAACCCTGGAAAACTAGTATCCTTTCTCGTGGAAGGAGCAGCGATTTAGTGATGAAAGGAATCCCATGGCTGCAGGACACATCCAGTGGAATCAGTCAGGGTGAGACTTCAGGCGAATCAAGCTTCTGCCCCTTAGAGTCCCCTGCTTACATGGGACCAGTGCACAGAAGCCATGGTGGAGAGGCGGTGAGTTAGAAGACTGGGGCTGCGACCAGAATTAAGCTGCTAATGAATGTTCCCTCATTTAGGGGAAGGGCTCTGGTCAGTCTTGAAGGGTGACAAACTTAAATGGCATGCTATATTTTTTCAAGGATAATTTTAGTATGAAAACCTGTATTTGAAAGTATAAGCTGTGACAGAACAGAAATGGCTTTCATGATCGTTAGACTGACTTTCACTCTTTGCTGGAGTCAGAAAAAGTTTTTCCATGGCCAATTTGTGCCAACTTATTAGTGATAGCACGATTTATTTTCAAAAATAGACAACTGAATGTGTTTTGCTGTTGCCATTGTGCAGATATCAATGAATGTGCATTGTGGAATCATGGCTGTACCCTTGGGTGTGAAAATACCCCTGGATCCTATTATTGCACATGCCCTGTAGGATTTGTTCTGCTTCCTGATGGGAAACGATGTCATCGTAAGTCACGGCAACACATATTTATTGCACTATTTGTCTTCGTTTTCAGTAAAGTTTCTGAAGTGGCTATGATGTTGGTTGATGGTTTCCAGTCAGCAGTGTACACCAGAGTTACCTTGGAGTTTTATTTTGTTTTGCTTTTTAAAACATGGATGACCAGACTGTGTTCCAGATCTATTAAATCAAAACCCCCAGGGTTGGGAAATAAATATGTGTATTATCTATATGTATGTCTCTATATTTTTAAATATATATGTACTTTTTCTGTTTATCTGTATTATCTTATATATCATTGTATATCTTTAAATAATAAGCATGTAAAAACATAGTCTTGATACGTTATTATATCTTAAAAAATTAACTGTAACTCCTTACTATCATTTAATATCCAATCAGTTTTTAGCTATAATCACAATACCAGTTTTAAATGTTAAAAAATTGACAATAGTCCCTTAATGATATCAAATATCTCATAAGTTTTCAAATTTCTTCTATTATCCTAAAATGTTTTTTAAGAGTTGATTTGTTTGAATAAGTATCCAAACAAGCTGCATGAGTCTTACTAGCTTGATATACCTCACTTTTATTCTATAGATCCTCTTTTCCTTTTTCCTTGCAAATATTTGTTGAAGAAACTAATTTTTTCTTCATGCAGACTTTCTCTTTCTAGATTTTGTAATCACACATCTGTGATGATCCTGTCTTTTTTGCAAACTTGTAGTTAGATCTATAGGCTTTTATCGATTCGGCTTTTACATTTTGGACAAGAATTCTTCATAGATGTGTTTGTACTTCCATGCAAATAACATCTGGTTGTTCCTCTCTGCCATGCTGAGATTGGTCAGTGTGTTTATTCATCCATCACAAAGCTCCACAATACTCTTTCAACCACTGGTAGCAGCAGCCATTAGAAATCCTTTCCTAGACCCATTATTTCATCAAGAATTTCAAATGGTGACATCTCAGTTCTATTATTTCTTTTTAATTATTAATTGGAATGCCTCTATAAAGAGAACTTTCATTAACTAGTTATCTCGAGATACAATTCTTACAATAAAGGCAAGAAAAATGCTGGATTTTTTTCCTCTTTACTTATTTATAGAATACTGGGCTGGTTCCTTGACACCTTTCAAGGGTGGCCAATAAACTTTTTTTTTTTTTTAAGTATTATAAACTCAAGGACTTTAAACATTTTTAATATTTTTCAATTCATCATAATTGTCATCCTCACTGATAAGCAAATCATCTCCTCTAGCCAGTGGAGTCTCTTCTAATGGGTTCCTTATCCTAGTAGTCTTTTATTACTTCGTTGTTATTTGATAGGACATATTTTCTGGGCTCGTCTTATACATTTTATCCTCTATATTCAAAACCAAAACTTCCTCAAGTAACACTGCTTCCTTTTAATTAAAAATTGTATTTAGAGGACACAATTTGCTACTGAATTAGTCATTGTTTATAGGCCTTTAGGAGTATCAAAGCTAGGAATATATTTATACAAAAGAAATACATGATTAATTTATATGAATACTCCCAGTTCACGTTTAGGATTACATATTCAGATGTCTTCTGATAGACTTCTTATTGAATCTAGTCTCATGTATAAGTACAAATGAATGTTTAAAATCATGTATATTATCTAGCCTGCCTCAAAGATGATACAGAAAAATGTCAGTCTGATGAAATTGGATACATCATAATGGATGGATGATCATTAATTTCTTGGAAATTATTCACTGTCTTTTGCCTGTCGATTAGACTTGCCCTTTCCCTAATACTACATGGTTTGCCTGCTGGCAAATATACTAAAGTACTTGATGGTAATGTGCTATAAGGCCCACTATGTGCCAAGCAGGACACATAGACTCTTACTTGATGCTCAAAGTTACTAGAACTTTCATGGTACATATTTTATCTTTAATTGTTGATTTACTTGGAATTTATTTTGGTATATGGTATACGGCAGGAATTTTAACTTTTCCTTTAAATCATTACTCAGTTATCTACTCAGTAGACCATTATTGGAAATCTTTCCATGCTCACTGATTTAAAATAACACCTTACACAGTACATGCTTATGTATACTTGAGTCTTCTAAAATGAGCTTTCTCTCCTGTTATCCTCTGTGTGTTCCTGGACCCATTCCCCACTGTTTTAATGATTGTACCTTTATCATACATTTTGATATTTGTTAAGATTCTCTCATTTCTCTTCCTAAACCTAACCATACTCAGAAAAATCCTTCATTTTTATTTTACATGTAATATGTTTTCCAGATGAACCTGAGAATTACTGGTCAAGTTCCATTTGAAATATTTTAGAATTTTGATGACTAATAACTTTTAAAATCTTATTTGAAATAAAAGAAACTCAGAGGGAGCTAAAGTTATTTTCCAGAATCAGAGATCTTTAATTTTTTTAGATTTGATTTTTTTCCTTTGTTTTTATATCACTAGTATCACAGCATTTTATAAATGTTTGGTTTTCATTTAACCTATTCTTTTCAGGATACCATTTTTTAATTTGAAATTGGTTGTAATACATTTGTACAAGCCTGATTTAACACGAATCTTGACCTTCTTCTTCATTAATTAGAGTTTGTTTCCTGCCCAAGCAATGTATCTGAATGCAGCCATGGCTGTGTTCTGACATCAGACGGTCCCATATGCTTCTGTCCTGAAGCCTCGGTGCTTGAGATGGATGGAAAAACATGTAGTGGTGAGTTTATTTACCTTCTCTTTGTTTGAAAACAGCATTTTCTCCTTGACACCTAAACATTTATCTTGTTGCCAAAAGAGATTAGATTTTCTAATATTATACATGGAAAGGTATTGAGGCAACAGATTAACATATGGATTTAAATGGAATTGGGAGGGTGGTTTGTTTTTGTTTTTAGACAGCATAGCATAGAGATTATAGACCAAGTACTTTGGGGTTAGACAGTTACAAGCAGTTTTTATTTTGGCCTAGTTACTTGTCCTCTCCTAGTCTCTGTTCCCCCACCTAAAGAAGTACTGATACTTGTTTCCTGGTTAAATGAGATGGCAGAGGTGGAGTGCTTTGTCTGTTCCTTGTACCTAATAAATACCTCTCTGCTTCTACCTTCATAGAGATTTAAACATATAGACGACTAGATGTAACTGAAATGTAGCAGAAGAATTATGTGTGGTTTTTTAATTTTTTAATAAAGAGAGCAAAAGAAATCAAGAGGCCAAAAACACGAGAGAGAGAGAGAGAGAGAGAGAGAGAGAGAGAGAGAGAGAGAGAGAGAGAGAGAAATTACTCACTAGGAAGAGTTAGGTTGCGGGGTCCCGCCCCGCAAGGGTCGTGAGATCTCCTGAAGGAGAGACGGATAGGCGAAAGACGAAAACATTATACTCGGACACCTGCTTCTTGAACAGATGACAATTTAATGTTAGTTAACACAGAGCTTTTATACCATTCGTAAAGGGGCGAGACAAAGAAAATTCCTTCACGTACATATGCTCTACAAGTTACCACCATCTAGTGGTCTTAGCAGTAAACAAGCCAAGAACCCTGTAAACATTCAGACAATGAGTCTTATTCATAAGGCCAAAGATGATAGTTTTAGTCCAAAGTCCCGAATTACAGTCCTTGAACTATCTCCAGAAAGTTTAGCAGTAGTCTTCCTTTTGGGGCTTTATGTCCTTCAGAGTTCTGTAATCGCCTTTGTTGTCCAGGTGTCTTCGTTACTTTTCTCTTATCCTGCAGTGCTTGTTTCTAAAGAAAACTCAAAAGAAGCTTTTAGTAATGTTTCCCAGGCCCCCAAGGTTGTTTTCTGTCTTTAGCTAAGTTGTCATAAAAGTGTCTGATTAGTATATTATGAGTTCAGTGAAAACTCACTTTATAAATGTTAACTTAGAGTTTTAACTATTGAATAAAGTAAAAACCTTAAAGATAATCTTTATCCTAAGTTAGTGAAAACAGTGTTATAAATCACCTACATAACTCCTAGGTAAGTGTTAGAACTTATAATGAGCTCATAATAAACTTACTATAAACTTGTGCTTCTAAAGAACCTTATGTCTAAACCCTAAACTGCATAATCCTAAATCAAATAAGGAGTGAATATACTTATATCATTTATTACTTAAGTAATATCTAGTAACTTATAACCAAGTGAAAGAAAACATTCTTGATGTGCTTCAGCGTTTAACCCTTGCCGATGTTAGAAAAGGCCAAGCGGCATAGTGGGAAAATGAAAAAATGAACCATGACATTCTCAGGTTAGTTGTGAGTACTTCGCATAAACATGCCATTTTCTTCTTCCACGACTGCACAGAATTTCTTCAGCTGTACCAACAGCAAGGATGGAAGATAGAAGGGCCTCAGTTGCCCGGACTCGCTTTGCGGCCAGGGGTCCTCACCACACCTGGACTTTGTCAATCAGGCGGGCCTCCAAGACTGGCTCCCAATATTAGGTAGCCTAGCTGCCAAATTCATCAGATGTATTTTTTATTCCAGCCCACTGGCAGTGCACTTGTTCTTAAACTCATTGGTAGAACAAGAGGACAAGGTCTCTGGAACGTGAAGGTTTAACATCCAAGAGATTGGGTTATAGGGAAGGAGAAGAGTATTGTGACAGTTTGATTTTAATCTCTGAAAAATAATCTTGATTGCAGTAGTATGAATAATCATGGAAATGGTTTTTAAAAATCAGCAATCAGTTGGCTCACACCAATACGTTGTTGAAAAATTGTTATATTTTGGATGACAGCTTCACTACCAAGCAATTTTTTTTTGTAGGCTGTTCATCACCTGATAATGGTGGTTGTAGTCAGCTTTGCATTCCTCTTAGCCCAGTATCCTGGGAATGCAGTTGCTTTCCTGGATATGATCTACAACTGGACAAAAAAAGCTGTGCAGCCTCAGGTTAGTGCTGTGGTTTCTGAAAGTATGTCCCTGAAGAAAGATGACCAAAAAAAATTAATTTAGAAGTATGGAAAATTGAATTGCTTTTGGCTTCTGGCTAGAAAGTATGATTTTGTATTTTTGAAAATGGAAAACAAATCACATTGTAAATATTAATAATGTAAATAATGACAATATAGCTAATAATCATGTTTTTTGAAGAGTATGTCTAAGTAAATTAGCATCCAGCAAAGATTTGCCATGATTTCAGGTATGGTATTTTTAGTGTATAAGAAAATCACTCCCAGAATAGCCTTAAAACACTTTATAGATAAGAGTGTTTAATAAATATTTGTTGATTTATTTGATTTTCAACTTTCCAGTGAATGTAATAATCATAATACTTTGACAAGTTCTGTCATTTTCATGTCAAATTTAAAATGAAGTTGTATGTTTCAGCTACTTTTTGTATCTTCTGATATTATAACTCTGGTGTCCTTCAACAGCTGTGGAAATTCTTGATTCATACAAAATTGATTTAATCTCTCCTGAAAGTTAATTATGCTTATAATCTGGGATAACGTCATGATGATCCTTTACATTTTGCCCTAGTGGGACCCCAATACTGTTAACTTCTCAGGGCCTTGGTTAATATAGCATAATCTGAGTTCTGAAAATTATCAGGGGTCTTGTTATTAACGCAAATAATCATGACTCCCTTTCAGAAAGTGTTCAGACCAGAGAAGATTATTTGTTTAGAACGAATAGGTTTCAGTATGTGAGTCAAGGAGATATGCAGCCCTAAGATTTGCACCATTTAGCTGTGGTTTGGTTATTTAATGCTGACTCTTTCTATAAGTAATTTAATTTTAAAAGCAGATATCTAGAAAAGGATCTGGTGATGAAATTCTGGTAATATGTCACCTCACAGAAGAGGAAGTTTTCTTGCCTATTTTTACCTGCACCAAAATGGTGGAAAATTAAAAAAAATAAATACTGCAGAAATTGAAGAAGAGAGTGCACTGAAAGGGAAGAGTCAGAGTGCCTCTTGAGTTTGAAGGCATGTTTTAAATGCAGCCATATTTGAAATTTGGTTGACAGGACCAGAACCATTTTTGCTGTTTGCCAATTCTCAAGATATTCGACACATGCATTTTGATGGAACAGATTATAGAACCCTGCTCAGCCAGCAGATGGGAATGGTTTATGCCCTAGACCATGACCCTGTGGAAAATAAGGTATGGTTTTGTTGCTTGAACAGATGTGGATATGCTTTAGGGCCAGACTAGAGAATTTTATCCCAACAGATGACCTGGCCCACTTGAAAATCCTCCACTAAGCTCCAAACGATTAGGCACAGAACAAGTTAAATATAGACACTGAAACACCATTTGAGAAATTTTAAGGACTTTCCTGCCATTGTAATTCTGCCCTGCTCCTTGCTTTGTGTGATTCAGCCTTTTTATGATTACACAGAATCTTCTCTTTCATTTCCACTTGGAGATGAGCATGGGAGCCTAGCACAGTGCGATCCACAAAGAAGGAGCTCCATAAGTAGGTTTTTGATTATTTACTGGCAGTGGGAGGAATGGGAGGTTGGGGTGGGGACACAAGAAGAGTGGGTTAGTAATTTGCATTTAATATGTGTCATTGGGGAAGGGGATTCAATGACTTCTTAACCATGAAAATTAAAGAATATAAGTTTTATGATTCATGTAGGAATGGCAGTCTAACTAATAACATTATTGACAGAACAATTTTACATGACTTCTTTGGTACATAAATGAGAATTTCTATATTATCAACCCAATCAGTTGGCCATTTGCTCTCTAACTTCTCAGTTGTATTTGTGCTAGGTTAGAATGTGCTTGAAATATTACAGGATCTTTTAGAGAGTAATCACCCAATAATGATAAATTTACGTAGTTATTAATCCCTCTTCATAATTATGTACTTATTACAACATGATGTAGTAATGCCCAGAATTCTAAATGTTGTGCTTTTGTTTCTTCCTGATTTGAAGCAGTCTGGTAAATGGCCAAAAGAAACAGACTGAAGCAAGTTGATTCAGTGTCTAGTAGGTGTGGATCAATAGCTAAATATAACTATTTTTGCATATAAAAGTTTTGCAATTAAACACTAGCAAACAATTTTTTTGTATGTCTGAATCTTTACAGTTCTACAGAACAATTACATTAACAGAAAAAATAATTCATAGAAAAAACTCGCTCAGGATTCATTTATTATCAAACTAGCTTTTACTGCATAGTCAGTATTTTTGCAACCAGGAGGCCTGGAACGAATCTCAAGTCAGGTGGCCATTTTTCAGTTTTCTGATTAATGTTCTCATTTTCTTTCTACTCAAACTGTGGTCTTTGAACCAGCAATGTCAACATTACCTGGAACTTATTAGAACTGCAGGCTCTGGGTTCTACCCCAATCACAGAATCAGAATCTACATTTTAACAAGATTCTCAGGTGATACATACATACACTACAGTTTGAGAAGCGCAACCCTCGTGGAGTAACTTTTAATTTGAGAAGGACTCATATTTATATTTATGAAAATAGAAACTTTTCTATTTTACCTAGAAAGAATAACCCATTACTTAATGAGTTACAATTTTGTGAATATTCTCATCACTGATTGCAAATTTAACTGCATATTTGTACTCACAGTTAAAATTCCACAGTGCTATCATTACATTGCCAATCGACCCATAGCTTTTTTTTTTAAATTTTTATAGATTTGGGGGTGCAAGTACAGTTTTGTTACATGGATATATTGCACAGCGGTGTTGTCTGGATTGTTAGTGTACTTATCACTCGAATCCTTTGTACCCAATTGGTAGTATTTCATCCCTCACCTCCCCCCCCCACCTTTTGGAGTCTCCAGTGTCTGTTATTCCATTCCATCCATATTATTTCACAATATCCATGTGTACCCATTGTTTACTTTCCACTTATAAGTGAGAACATGTGTTTTTGTGGGGGGGGGAGGTATATTTTTCCTTTTTAAAAAAATTTTATTTTAAAGATGTGGGGTACAATTCAGGGTTAAGTATACAAATGTTAAGCTGGGCTCGGTGGCTCAGCCTGTAATCCCGCGCTTTTGGGTGGCTGAGGTGAGTGAATTGCCTGAACCCGCGGGTTTGAGACCCGCCTGGGCAGCGAGACCTCATCGCTACAATAACTCAAAAATCAGCCGGGCGTGGTAGTGCGCACCTGTAATTCCGGCTACTTGGAAGGCTGAGGAGGAAGGATGGCCGGAGCCCAGCAGGTCGAGGCTATGGTGACTGGGAGCGGCCACTGCACTCCAGTCTGGGCGACAGAGTGAGACTCCAACTCAAAAAAAAAAAAAAAAAGTATACAAATTACCTAAAAGCACATGTGAATGAAATAAATTAAATCAGTATATTTTTGGTTGTAATCCTTAGGGCAACAGGGAGTTCTCAAATATGTAGCTAAAGTGAACCCTGGGAAAGCCCCACACTGGAGTTTCGAGGTTGTTCATTCAGCAGAATGGATTAATTTAATCTCCTCCCTTCAAGATAAATTATGGCACTATTCACTTCATATTTACAGAACTGGAATCACAGAAGTCTTTAAACAAGCAGAAAACTTAGTCTGATTTCACTTTTCATATGCGAAAACCAAAGCCCAACACAGTAAGGGTCTTGCCTGAAGTGACAGAGTGAGTTAGCACCAAGCCTCAGACCTGGCTCCTCAATTCCTGGTTCCTCTTCCACTTACTCAGAACTTCCTGATGTTCTACACAAGTTCACAATCACTACAACTGCAAAATTTCTTTGTTAGCAAAATGTTAAATTATTCGTTTAGCAACTAATGTCTGTTACTACTGGCTGGAAAATGAACACGACAACATACATGTAGTTTTCTTTCTCTGCCCTTAGCAATTACAAATAAACAACTCTTGAGCATTTTTATAGCCCACATTGATGATCAGTTAAGAATTCCTCCTCAAAAAAGTCTTTAATATAATTGGAAAAGAAACCCCATTCACTGACAGGCGGGGGTAAAATAGACTTACAATACTGTTCCCCAGCCATGCCAATAATCAGGCTGATTCGCATTCAAATCAACCTAGATTTTTCAAAACTAGAATAGCCCCTTCTACATTTCTTCTGTGACTTTCACTAGAGTCAATATTAAAGAGAATGTTTATTTTTCAGTTTTTTAATCTAATGATTCACAGGAAAACTGTGAAATGCACCTGTGGCTTTATCAGATTTCTGTCTGATTGCATTAGCAACAGTTACAAGATAGAGTTTTCATGGCAGTTGGCAGTTTTTGTCTCTCCAGACTAGAGTGGAGAACAAGTGGCCAAATAGGCAAAGCATGAAGAAAAGAGGCCTCAGTAGGGACTCAAGATCTCTCTTGCCGGGGTCTTCAAAAACTGAAAGGATTTTATGTATTGAGAGTCGATTTAAAAATGAGAAGAAACTGACATTTTTGGGAGGGAGTAGGGGGGCATGTGACAACACACTGGGTTCCTGGTCCACCATCAGGGAAGAGGGGGCCAGCTAGAGACCCAAACTTCACCTGCCTGCAACTTACTTATG